ACACGCACCCTGAGGGTCCACCAATCTTTCCACGAGGTAGGTTTCTCCATCTTGCGACCCTCGACCTTATCGTGGAATGCTCCTCTAACTGAATGTTAAAAAATCAAAAATAATTTGTTTACAGTGAAAAAAAAAACAGGAGAGTCTCAACAATAAAGTCACAAAATTAGAAGATGAAGATAATGCGTATTATTATGTCCTTCAATAAGTTTGGGGCTGGATCAAAAAATGTTGATTTACATCTTTGAATTGGATCACGACGCTGAAACAACTGTCTGAAATATCATTTGCACCAAAGGTCAACAAGTTGTGTCTGTGTCAAAAACAACGGCGTTTCGAAGGCCGAACACCGACTTGAACATTTGCGACGTTGAGTATTTGCATCGGAAATTGACAACTTTTTTTCGTTCTGAAGATGTGAAATTTTATCGGAGGTATTGATTTGTTCGAAAAACTTGAAAAATGGTAAGGTTCCGATGGAGCATATTTTGAATGATTGTTAATAAATTTTGCATTTTTTCTCAGTCTCAAAATTATGGGAAGGTCCAATAAATTCATATATCCAAACTATGTAGAATGAAAAAAAAAACGCTCCATAAAGGATCAAGGGAATGAGCAGGAACTTTGGATGCAAACGTTATAACTACATTTTTTGACCTGGTTTTCTCGCAGTTTGAGCTGCAACACCTAAGGTTGATTTCTAGCGGATCCCAGCTACAATATCTTACTCCAATATCGTGTCTAAAGGGATACTTTTGCAGGGAGACTTCCACTTATTGCCAGCGAAAGTGCAACGTTTCGTGGCCGAAAAGGCCGAATTGATGCGCCCACGTGGTGAGTTGTGCTGTTTGTCATAAACATGTTTTCGGCGGCCGCATGCAGTGCCCGCGTGGCCTAATGGATAAGGCGTCTGACTTCTAATCAGAAGATTGCCGGTTCGATCCCGGCCGTGGGCTAACGTTTTGCATTTTGATTTTCTGTTTCGTCTAGGTATCTACATCTGTGATGGATCTCAACATGAAGCCGATGAGATCATTGACAAGCTTATTGAGCGTGGTATGCTATCGCCGTTGAAGGCCTACGAGAACAACTATATCTGCCGTACGGATCCCAAAGTAAGCAATGCCGAGAACGGTAGACAGATGAAAATCAATGGGAGGGTTATCAATAAATCGATATCTACGCACTTTGCAGGATGTGGCTCGTGTCGAGTCCAAAACATGGATGGTCACACCGGACAAGTATCAAACAGTAACGCACACACCTGACGGTGTGGAGCCGATTATGGGCCATTGGATGTCACCCGAAAGTTTGGCCACCGAACTGGACAGCCGATTCCCTGGTTGCATGGCTGGTGAGTATAGTGTGTGTCACTTGAATCCCAAATGGGACAAGAACCGAGAAGCTACTTGGCAAGCCTTTTAGTAGTGAGGTTAGGGTTGCAGATCCTAACGGGGCACCGTTCGTAGATTGATGGGTTGAAATCAACAATATCCATGCCGCATTAGCAGGGCTATTTTGCAGGACTGGGGGCTTTTTATGATTAGGAGGGGGGAGTGGGTGGGATGGTGGAAGGGACCCATATTAGAGTTGGAAGGGGTGGGGGGTGGGGGGCGTCCCAGGGAATATCATAGGGGCTTAGGTTAGGATTCGATGATCTAAAAAAAGACTATTAAGGTGAGCGTTTTTAGTTTTTTCCATGAAGGCAGATTCATCCTTACTGCTGGACTACGCTAGTAATTTATTGATTTGAGGTCGTATCATGTACGTGATTCCATTCTCTATGGGACCTATTGGAGGACCGTTGTCAAAGATCGGAGTACAGGTATTGTGATATTTCATATGATTTATATCGAAACTCATGAGGATGTTGGTAGAAAAGCAAATGCTAAAGGCAATGGTTACGGTATTACAGTGGCTTGTAGTACTGGTGGTCAAATGAAAAATGAGAAGGCAAGTGGAGAAAAACAAGCGAAACTTCAGAAATCTGCGAAATAGGATCTTGAAATTCCGCATGATTTCACGACAGCGTGAACGCGTACTCCTGCCTCTCTGCCCTTCAGGGTAGAGCGCAGATGGTAGAAGCACGTCCACTGCTGCCTTCATTTACTGTGGCGCGCGCGAACCTAGAAAGGAAAGGTCAAGGTTTCGATTAATCGCTTGAGAGATTTTTTCACCCTACGAACAACCTCGACGCATCGTTTGCTGAAGGCGCCATAGTTTCCGCTTACCGCTAGAACTGCCCCATGTGTGAACAGCCAGTCATGTGCCCGCTGGCCTCTGAACTGTATGTTGTGGACATAGCTCGTACGGTCTTTAAAGACAAGAAAAGGTCTTAATAAAAGTGAAAAAAGAAAATGAAAAGACAGATTTCATATACCAGCTTAGTCATTTGCAAACAATATTTCTTCCTCGTCATTTTTTTGTGTTTCTTGGGCATTTATCCTCCAGAGGAGTTCGAGACAATTTTTAAACCGGGAAAAGAGGATTGGTTAGCCTGAGCAGAAGTTAACCTAGACTAACCGCGACAAGTGGCCACTTTGCCATTACACCACAACGTCCTCCTTTAGAGGCGGAGTATCCTATGAAAAGACAGCCCCTTAAAAATCAAGGTAGAGGTGTACAGTCATGCAGGGATGAAGAAAAACCAAGAAAACGTCCCAGAACGCTAGAAATGAAACCCCCTTTTTGCTCGTTCTATTTGCGCGTTAGGCGATTCTCATCGGTGCTGACCTCATCAGCGTGGACACTGCCTGCTAGAGCGACTAGAGTCAGATTGCGAGGGGTCAGCCAATTGGTGAGACTGTAGCGGCACGGGTAGCCCCCGCCAGGCCGCTCGGGATATGCCCTCGCTGCGAAACGTGCATCGGTCCGTAGCTTTATGGGGTCTGCCTGCCTACTTGGTACTTTCCCCTTCTTCGACCTCCGATTTGTCGTGGAATCCTCTGTCAGGTTTTAGGAACGAATTGGCTTGGAGGGAGGTCATCTAGGATTGGAGAGGCGGGTGACGCATACCATAGTAAATAGTCAAGGTGAAAATAAAGTAGTAGGGAATGAAATGGGATCCTCTCCTGGATCTTCTTACATACTCTTACACACTCTTCTTACACACATTAGTACACGTAGTGAAAGCTTTGGGAAAACTCGGTATCACTAGTGGTGATCAATGCTCTTGATGTCATCTGATGCCCTCTGATGCCTCCCGATTGATTTCTTTTGTGTTCAGCTGACCGACTCGAACTATGTGGTGCTGTCGATGCGGATTATGACCCGTGTGAGCCACGATGTTTGGGATGCACTCGGCGAAAACGACTTTGTGCGATGTATCCACTCAGTCGGACTGCCAAGACCAGTGAAACGTGAGTTTTACCGTTTGCAAAGCAGAAAGTCATCATCAGATTGCTTTTTCCATCAGAAAATCTTCTATAAATATTTGTTCGCTAATTTTTTGTACCCAGCGAGTTGATGATGAAATCGAGCAAATGTGTGGTACTTTCGAGCAAGTGTTCATTGTTTTCTTTACAGAACGTGTCATCAATCATTGGCCTTGCAACCCTGACAAGGTACTGATCGCCCATCGACCCGCCGAAAGGGAGATCTGGTCGTTCGGATCTGGCTATGGAGGCAATTCCCTGCTTGGTAAGAAAGTTTCTGTGCTTTTTCAAACGGATCTAAACTCTCAGAGAATTGAAGAGAGGAAATGTGTAAAAAGAGAGATATGAGCACCATAAAAGGGAGATTGTATGAACTGAGGGGTTCAAAACAAAAAACGGGCATGTGGAGCGGGACAGCTATGACGCGAGCGGTTGCGACGCGGTTTCTGGTATCCATGGAGTTTTCAGCATATGCATCAAGACGAGATTCTCCAATCACTCAGCTTTGACTACATTTTCAAAATTGCCGTCCTTCACCGCCTCAGCTTTGTTGACCGCAAGGCGACCTCGCAGCACACACTCGCGCTCCTAACCTTTCCTATTGAACCGTTTTGAAATTTGTTATTTTTTCTCAATTTCAAATAGAGTTGTTCAGGTAAGAAGTGCTTCGCCCTGCGTATCGCCTCCAATATCGCCAAAGACGAGGGCTGGATGGCCGAGCACATGCTTATCATGGGTGTGACGCGGCCGGATGGAAAGGTGAGTTCGTTACTTGAACGAAGGGTTTAGTTCAGAAGTATAACCATGCATTACTAAAGAGCCTAATGAATCTTAGGAACACTTCATCGCAGCCGCCTTCCCGTCAGCTTGTGGTAAAACGAACCTGGCTATGCTTGAGCCGGCTCTGCCTGGCTGGAAGGTCCGATGTGTTGGTGAGTGTTACATATATTCTCCCTGAAAAAGGGCCCTCTGAGTATGCAAATGGGCCTTATAAGGTTGTAGGGATATTGTAAGGATCATACATTTTTTGTTTTGCCCTGAGCTGGTTAAACTGTGCCGGGTTACAGGTGATGACATCGCCTGGATGAAATTCGGTGAGGACGGTCGCCTGTACGCGATCAACCCTGAATCAGGTTTCTTCGGAGTTGCACCAGGTACTGAGGCTTTTTGGTTGTAAAGTTTTCAATATTATTGGATTAATCGAACTGCTGACGTTAAAATTGTTTTATTCAAGGTACATCCAAGAAAACGAACCCGATGGCAGTCGCTACGTTCCAGAAGAACTCAATCTTCACGAATGTCGGTGAAGACGGCTGATGGCGAGTACTTCTGGGAAGGAATGGAGGACGAAATCAAGGACAAGGGTGAGTGTTGATTTGGAAAAAGTGTTTTATTAGGGTATAATTTCGCAAAGTCAATCGTAGATAAGAGAACCTCTGAAAATCATAATCCCCTGTCGTCCCGTTGATCATCGAATTGCTCGAGCGGGCGCCAGCAACGTCTCCATTCGTCCCTGTCGCGTGCAAGAGTTGTCCAGTGGACCCTCCTCGCTCGAGGGACACGGTGTTCTTCATTCCTTTCGTTCAGAGCTTTCGTGAAGAAGTCTGACCATCGGGCCGGCGGTCGTCCAGGTGTTCGTTTGACGTCCCGAGGGATCCAGTCGGTAACCGCTCTGGTCCAACGGTCATCGCAAAATCGCATGACGTGTCCGGCCCACCTTATCTTCGATTCCTTGGCGAAAACGGCAGCGTCCCTGATCTTCGATCGTTGGCGTAGTTCGGCACTCCGGATTCCCCTCTGCACTTGCGTGTATAGGGTTACTCCTAGCATCGTCCTCTCGACAGCGCGTTGGATAACGCTGACCGCATGCTCGTCCTGCCTGCGCAGAGTCCAAGTCTCTGAGGCGTAGGTTAGGGCAGGAAGGACAGCGGAATCGAAGAGGTGGGCACGGAGCCGGATGTTCTTCGTCTTCTTCACTACTCCCTCGATGTTCTTATACGCTCCCCAAGCCGCTCGTTTCCTCCTGCTCAGCTCTGGAGCTAGATCGTTCATCATATTGATTTCCCGACCTAGGTACACGTAGCTGGAGCATTCGGTGATGTTCGTTCCGTTGGAGGATACGCTCCAGCTACGTGTGCCTAGGTTGGGAAATCACGAACCAATCCGTTTCTCATAAACATCGTCTTACCGTGAGGGGTCGAGCTGGTTAGACCACTTACCACAGGCGCAGTCGAAATCAGCCAGCATTCGCTCCGCTTGCTTGCTCGATGTTCGGCGTTATAAGAACGATGTCGTCAGCAAAACGAAGGTGGTGTAGTTGCCGGCCGTCGACCTTCACTCCCATGTCTTCCCATTCCAGTTGACGCATGACGTTCTCGAGAGCGGCGCTGAAGAGTTTGGGCGAGATGGTGTCGCCCTGTCGAACCCCTCTCTTGACGTCGATGATGACCTCCTTGTAGAATGGTGAGATTCCTGGTCGTAAAGTTGCTGTAGAGCTCACGAAGAATCTTGATGTACTGAGTAGGGACGCCCTGGTTGCCCAAGGCTTCGATGACCGCTTCTGTCTCCACAGAGTCGAAGGCCTTCTTCAAGTCGATGAACGTGAGACAAAGCGGCATCTTGTACTCTCGTGAAACTTCAATGAGTCTTGTAACCGTGTGGATATGGTCGATCGTGCTGAACCCTCTTCGAAACCCTGCTTGCTCGCATGGCTGTCCTTCATCTAGTATTCTGCCGATCCTGTTAAGGATGACTCGAGTGAATAGCTTGTAGATTACAGACAGCAGGCAGATTGGGCGATAGTTGCCAATGTCGTCCAGGTCTCCCTTCTTGTACAGCAACACGGTCCTGCTGGTTTTCCACGGAGTGGGTACCTTGCATTCCGACAGGTAGCGCGTGAAGAGTCGAGCCAGAGTTTTGATGATGACTGGCGGCGCATTCTTCAGATGTTCCGGTTTGACCCTGTCGAGACCGGGTGCTGTACGATTCTTCACCGACTTGATGGCGTGTCGGACTTCGGAAGAGAGAACTGAGGGGACGACGTATCCATCCTGTTGCAGTTGATAAGTGGGCAGATGGACATGGCTATCGAAGAGATCCGAGTAGAAGTCGTGGATGACTTTCTCCATTGCCCTTCGGGATGCAGTGACTGTTCCATCCGGGACATGCTATACGGGACGTAGGAGGCAGGTCATCTTGGTCTTGTAGCTGGCAAAGCTTCGGCGGGCATTGCGGATGCTCCTCCCAGCCTCTGCTGCTTCAGCTAATACTGCTGCTCTTCGCTCCTTGAGATCTTCCTTTATCGCCTCTCTGCATAGCTTCGCAAGCTCGGACGTGAGTCGGTGATTGCCTGCAGCTCGTGCGGCTCCACGCTGGCGTATCAGTTCGAGAGTTTCCGGAGACAGACGTCCCTTGGTGACTTTCAAACTCTCTGCCTTCTTGCCACAATCGTGAAGATGTTCAACGAGCCGATAGTACTCCTCGTCGATGTTTTCGATGACGGAATCCTCCCATAAGCTGACGAGGGAAGCGAAGTGATCCCAGTTGATGACTGTCCTGGGGCTTCGCTTCCTGAACTTTCGGAAGGCTCTCTCAACACGCATCGAACGAAAAGTGGAACTTTGCGGCGGAGGAGACGATGGTCCTGATCCCGTGTAGAACTTCGGTAGAATCGGAACAACAGCGACGTCGGTCAGGCAAAACCTTCGATTGAAGATGATGTGGTCTATCTCGTTATGGAACTGTCCATCAGGTGACTCCCAAGTCCAACGAAGGTGAGGGGGCTTTTGGAACTGTGAGTTACCATGGATGGTGTTGGTCGACATGATAAACTCCGACAGTCTCTCACCCTGCTCATTCCATTCCATTCCGTGAGTACCGATGTGAAGTTCTTCAGCCGTTCTTCTTGGGCCAATCTTAGCGTTGAAGTCGCCGACGATGACCTTAAAGAAGGTATGATCTTCCCTGTAGAACTTCTCCAATTCCATATAGAATGCTTCGTGTTCTTCTTCGTCGTAGCTGGATGTTGGTGCGTAGGCGACGAAGATTGTCAAAGCAGGAGTTGAACCACATCTTCTCAATCTCAAACGTCCGATTCGGGTCGTAAGGCTTTCGTACGAATCGATGTTTATGGCCAAGTGCGTGTTGACGAGGACACCCACACCGCCAACGCCTCTGCTGTCGCATGTTCCAAGGAACAGTTCTTCTCCAGTATCGAAAACGGCGTGTAGCGGGCGGTGCCTTCTCGTCTCGGTCAGTCCGATGACGTCGTACTTGATCTTCCTGGCCTGCATCATCAGATCTTCGATGTGAGCTTCGGATGCAAGCGTTCGTGCGTTGAAAGTACAGATCGCCATCTTAGTCCTTCTTCGTTTAGGCAGCCTATCCGGGCCCTGAGATTCTAGCAGCCTCTCCCGAGCGGTCCTACCCAACGCTGCCGTATTGGGGGCTCCCTCAGGTTCAGGGGAATGAGGCCCATCCATATTGCTGTTTTCGGCATATTGAAGGCACACGAGTAGCTTGCCAGGCTCTGTCGTGCGGGCTAGGATAGACCTCCAGGTAGTTAGCCACGCTATCCTGGAGCGGAACAAGGGGCTTATTTCTTGGAGGCGGCCCCGAATCGCCTCCCATGTACTTCCCAGTCACTTGAATGCAAGCTTTTGGCTGTGCCGACATGCAGGATACCAACCGCACACACACAGAGCGCACCACACACGCAAGCATGCATGGATGCGCCTGAGTGGAGACAGCTGGTATGAATCAACACAGCACTACAGAAACAGGGAGTCCATCCCCTGAATCCACCTGCGTCTCAGGGCAAGTACATGGTGGCTTTTGGTCCGCGATTTACCCCCTATCCGCCACCTGGGGTCGCGCCACGTAGCCTCGCCACCAACCGGCTCGAGATCTTTCAGTGAGAGAGGACCCTCAGTGAAAGAGATCCGTGGGGAAACATCCATAGTCCCTTGCAAACTTCTTGGGTTTGGGTTCACTTGCTAGCAGAACCTTATTTTCGTCGGATTGGAGCACGAAAGAAGAAGCTTCTCTTGGACAGAATTACGGGAAAAGCATAAAATTGGAAGGCTTTTCAAGAAACCGGAACCGTAGCGAGCAGGACTCGCGCTCCTATCCAAAAATGACGTGGGAGAAGACCCGAAATGGACTTTCGTAAGCAAAAACCTGAGTATAGCCGTGTTTTTGCTTCTATCGTGGACAAGTAGCACAGTTAGTAGCGAGTTAAAATATATAATATCTTCAGTATTGAAACTCGGTCGTAGGGACTGGTTACGGTTGTGATTACACGGTTGTGGCAATAAAAATAAGTTCGCCTCTCGTGAGCGTTTTCTCTCCATAAGACGTCCTCGGATACGCCCCCTCTGCTCTGAAACAAGGTCCCGCCGTGAGATTTCGGGAAGGGCGGAGTGGTTCCAATGGGCGGGGCTTAAATCGGAATTCACGATTGCCTCTTTTTCATACTCTTAAGGTGCTATTTTAATCTCATCTGCTGTCGTAAGAACCTTGTGATGAACCAACATATAACAAGTGAAATTAATCAGTGTTTCACAATTCTTGCTTTCCAGAATGTGGAAATGATCAATTGGCTCGGCGAGAAATGGAAAATCGGCGATCGTCGGAAGGGCGGAGTGGTTCCAATGGGCGGGGCTTAAATCGGAATTCACGATTGCCTCTTTTTCATATCCTCTTAAGTGCTATTTTAATCTCATCTGCTGTCGTAAGAACCTTGTGATGAACCAACATATAACAAGTGAAATTAATCAGTGTTTCACAATTCTTGCTTTCCAGAATGTGGAAATGATCAATTGGCTCGGCGAGAAATGGAAAATCGGCGATCCAGGAGTCTGTGCACATCCGAACTCACGATTTGCCGCGCCAGCCTCCCAGTGCCCGATTATCCACCCAGAATGGGAAAGCCCTAAAGGAGTTCCAATTGATGTGAGCCTTTTACAAGATTTGCCTATGACCTGGCTGCGTTTTTTTTTTAACCAAACTGTCATATTATCTCCTCCATTTTCAGGCCATTATTTTCGGTGGTCGCCGTCCGGCTGGTGTCCCGTTGGTGTTCGAGACGAGGTCGTGGTTGCACGGTATCTTCACGGGAGCGTGTCTCAAATCTGAAGCCACCGCTGCTGCTGAGCACAAAGGTAGCCATACAGAAAGCCTTGCATACCGATTTCTGAAGCATTGCTTTCGTTAAAAACGTAAGGCTTGTTCCTAATTGATGTAACACATGAGAACTGGAGAATTGGCGAAAAGAATTAGGCATGAATTGATCCTGAAATCAGAAACACGGAGAATCG